GAGTGGAGGAGGACGAGGATGAGATGGAGGGGGAGAGTGGAGGAGGACGAGGATGAGATGGAGGGGGAGAGTGGAGGAGGACGAGGATGAGATGGAGGGGGAGAGTGGAGAGGGGTGAAGCATGAATGAAATGCTTCTAACGCCTCTCTCTCTGTTCTCCCTTTCACACCACATCTCTGTGGCTTTCCCTTCCTTTCATTCGCCCACGTGCTCCTGTCTATCTTTAACTCACACCTCTGTTTGCCTCCCTGTATTTGAGTAAAATCAAATCTGGAATTATAGGAATTATGCCTGCTCTACCAAATGTTATATTGCCTGAGGATATTTCATATATGCGCCTTTCGTCTCTGGTCACCGTTGACGATGGTTGTTGAATAACATCTAACGGGACCAATGTGCGATTTGCTTGCTTGAGTTAATTCAACATTATCCCGATGCACCACTTTGAGGGTAAAATAATCTGCATGTTCGGGGCTGTGTTAGCACATTTATCTGCATGCACTTGTCTGCACCAATTTTTGTCATCACGATTTATTGCTAAACTTAACACGGAAAGTTGATATTTAGATTGGTAAGTGCAATATGACTTCCAACATCACTAATCACCGGCTTAGTTTATTGAATATATAATATAAGTACCATGTATGTGATGATGTAAATGGAATTTATAAATGGAATAGTTGTTTTCTTAGACTTTTCGTGTATAATAATATCTAGTCCTTAAGACCTGTAGATTGTGTAAAGGTGAAACTTGGTTAAAAGATGATGAAGAATGATGCCTGGGTTTGAATTAACGATGTTGTTTGATCTGTTTAGATGAGTTGCCGTATCTAACCTGCCCCTTGCACACTGTCTTGAAACTGACGCCAACGGCTATGGGCTGCATTGTAGAACAGATTACATTTAACATTGGCTGTGCCAACACCCACAGACCTAAACCCACCTCGCCGGTAAGTAGTTATAGGGATGATGTGCACAAACTGTTGAATGTTCCCATCTTTTCGTTTATTTGCTTATTTAAACGTTTGTTAAAGAGTCATTTCATCCGATGATAGCGCGATCCTACG